GATTATGTCCATGTCTGGAGAGTCCTGTGTTTTTTCTTTTTTTATTATTGTGAGCCGCCCAGAGTCACCCATTAGGGGAGATGGGCGGCATACAAATTTGAAAATAAATAAAATAAATAAATACATGGTAGGCTGTATGTAGGAGAATTACTGTGTATAGAAATATATTGGATCTAGACTTAGGCTTACTAGAGGAAATCCACAGAAACCACTGGAATGTAAGTTATAGCCACTCATTTGTCCATTTGACTGCAACTGTCTATATTGTTCCATGAAGAATTTTTGGGGTCATACTGTAGTACAGTAAACCAGTAATATTTAATCCCAAAGCAATACCCTACCTTTTCTATTTTAATTTATTCTATTTTAGCTTTCTATTTGCCTGGGACAATTATAACAGCATCGATCCATGACAATCTAATATCTGAAAGCTTATAATAAATTTGAATTACATTTTAACTATAGTGAGTGTAACTAAATAATAATTTAATTCCAAACACTTATTAACTGCATAAGAAGATATTTAGCATAAAATATTATAATATACTTTAATATTGGCTTCACTATAGAATACCATAGTATTCTGTATATAGTTTGATTATAGATGTATATTATACATCTTTTAAGTTAGTATAATAATATTATGCATTTGCCATCTAGTATTTTTCTAGTTAATAGAAAAACTAAACATTTTTGCCTTTTTTATATATGTCCTCATGAGATCTGACTCACTAGACAACATTTAAGAACACAAAAACAGAAGACATTTTAAAAACATTGCAGGATGTTCTAGAGTAGAGAAGATACTGATGGCATTATCTTTCAACAACAGACTGCATGGTTATATCAGTGTTTCAGGGAAACCCTGCTACACAATTTGCAACCATGTTGTAATTATGATGCAACCCTTTGTAGATATCCTGTACATGACTGTAGGCTTAAATATGAAACAGGAAATTCATGCATAAACACCCATCCAAATTCTATAATGAACTTCCTTTAACATTAAAACCCTTCAGCCGTTGTGATGCAATTTGGAAGAAATATTAACTAACTTATTCATCGTCCTCTTTCCTTTGCCTTACAAAGGAAGTTAGTTGCAATATATCCCAATGGAATGTGTGCTAACATTAATAGAGGTTACACCTTCCAATTTATAAAAATTAAAAATCTAACTCAAATACTGTCATACTCATGGGGGTATATTTTCCCTGTTAACAACAGTTATTTACCTGTTACAATCCTGAATACAGTCAGCACAATTCCCTTCTTTTAGGTAACATGCAGCTCTGTTTGAATACAAAATACTTAAATCCTCTGGAGTTTGGATTCCTAGAATTACACATAATTATTGTGAAAATTGGTTACTGAAATGCAATTGCTGTTACCATAAAAATATGCATCATTAGGTTCCCAAGTTTCATGGCAGTAGTACAGATGTGCTGAAAATGCACAATTACAGTAATTCAATTGCTCCAAGGAAATTTTCTTTTATTTATGCAGTTAATTTTAAATACGTAACCCTAATTCAGCTATTATGAAGTCTACATTACAAAATCTATTTCACTTAACTATTGAATTTGAATTCAATTTTATAACTGCTTACTACTGCAAAGGAGCCTTTAATCTGCTAGTTTCTAGAACAAAACAAATGGGGAAAATATAGAAAAGCTTAGTGGTATTTTAAAATTACCATTAGAAAAACTTCAATCGTTTTATTAAAATATATATCTCACCTGAACTGAGCACATTTTCGATTGCTCTAGAATATTTCAGCATAGCTTCTCCAAATTGCCCGTTCTTAAATAATTCATTTCCTTCAGTTTTCAGTTTTGCAGCATTAGGAGGAAGCAAAGTAGAACTGCTCATTCCAGCTGCTGCTGATTCTACATCCTTTGGTTTTCCTTTCCCAATTTCCTTTCCATTTTTACTGTTGCTCAGGTAGCCATTTATTTCACTTTTACCATCCTGCAAAGATTCGTGTATCTTTTCCTCAGATGTGCCTTTTTTAATGCTGTTCTCGGAAGGGTCTCTGTGCTTCTGTGCTTCTTTATGTTCTGGTTTCCAGCTGCCTCCTCGACTATGGAACTTCTTTTGTACATTGCCCATTTCAGCTTGCTCACTTGTGCTCTCCCTTCCCACAAGCACTGCAGTTTCTACAAGGAAGTGAATCAGCTAGGTTAGAGTTTGCATCATTGGAAGGAACGATTGTCAGAGCAAAGCAGGGGTGGACTGAAATGTGCATCAGTAAGGTCACAAGATATTTAGCTTATTGAAAAGACCTTAACCCAAGATTTTTGTATCTTGTAAGTGAACACAACAGTCAAAACAATTGCTATAACAGGAATTTAAAACTGTCAAATCTGTTGTTCTTTTAAGGACTATTGAGACCCTGTTTTTGAATGGCATACAATTCACCTGGAATTAACCATCTAAATGCTAAGTATTCAATGAAAACACTCTGAGTAAACTATATGGCATTAGCAGTCATGACTACGTTAACAAGCAGACTTACTGTGTCATTACTGATATATATTAAGTAGAAAAGACTATTTTAGTACATGTACTATTTTGTAAAATGTACATGTTTTTATTTCTACTGAAGAAAATAGCTAAATAAATTACTTGCTTTTAAAAAGCTTTATAAAGAAAAGACACTGTAAACTTCTAAAGTGTCACCTTCAGATATTATCCTGCAGAATACACTAAACTTGAATAGATCATCATCACTGCTTTAAAGCAAAACTTGGGTGCACTTTTAGTTATTATTTAAATTTGCCAATATGAACAGAAATATTTTGTCATTAGCCTTAATTTATTTCCCACTTGGAAACTGTTGCACAATAATTCCAAAACATTATTCAGACTTTTAATGTGAACATTTATCAAAGGAAAACTGTTGATACTGAAACTGTAAGGAATTCAACAGATAGCAAATAGATAATGTGATCTTTATTCGAGCTTAGGTCAGTGACAGAATACATACTTTGCACAGAGACAGGCTCAGATTCAAGTCCCTGACATAACTAGGTAGGGTTTGAAGAACCATCCAAAATCTTGGAGAGTTGTTACAATCTGTGTAAAAATCCTGAGCTAGATAAACGGACAGTGTTTTAAAAACAGTGTGGAATCTGCTCACTGTTTCTGAAATGAAACATTAAATAAACTTACTTCTATCTCCACAGCCATTTTCAAATTCTTCTTCATTTCCCCCTTGCTCTTCTGATTCTTCTATTTCTTCAATGAATATTCTTTTCCCCTTGCTTTGGGTCTGAGATACAGGTTCTGATTCTTTCAGCTTCTTATCAATATCTGATAGGTTCTTCTGTATAGAATAATAGTAATATTATTTTTCTTAAAAAACAGGGCAAAATATTAGAATTTGTTCTTGTAACTGTACAAATCTTAGTAACTGACTAGATTCAAATTTAGTTATGTTTGTAAGCTCATAGAAATCCAAGATTTGGTGTCAGTCATTATTAATATACATTAATTTCTTTCAGTGGATCTTCTTTAAGCATAATTTAGATCTGGATCCAACTCTATGTCATTTAATCATGACAGAATTGATACTACTTCTAACCAGTTTTGCAATACCTATAGTCCACCTGCCCTCCAATTCCTCTCTCTGTACAGTATAAGCAGTGTGTGCTGAATTCTTGTCTCACTTTGCCTGCCAGTCTCTTGAGCTGAAATGACCCCTCTCTCACATACTTTGCAACCTACAACCAAAAGTTTACTTTGCAACCTACAACCAAAGCTTTGCCATCAGGAAAAGCAATTTATCATCACAACTTCCAGTGGAAATTTATAAGCAGAAAGACTCACATCTTCATGGCCAGGTAGCTTTCTCCTTGCATCAACAGCACAGATATTTTGAATAATGGTCAAGTACAGGTAAGGGGATACTAGCCATTTTTTTTTTCCTATTTCTGGGTGGAGCAAGGATGGAAAGGATTTTTGTTACTCTAGGAACTTCTATAACTCTAGTGCAGAATCCTGACTAAATTATTTTTACATTCTCCTGCTGGTTGGCTCATAGTGTTTTCTATGTATTCTTAGGATCCAAGGTCAGAGAAATGAAGACAATCACATGGCCAACTTCAAAACAGTTTGGCCTTGGAGAGCAGAAATGCTAACATGTGGTAATGTCCTAGATTGCAATCTCATCAGAATTCTGTGTGTTCCTTTTGCTTGTACCATCTCAGAAAAGAAACAAGAAAAGTTACAGGAGAAGGATCCCAAACTCATAGATGCATATTACAGCTGCCTGCTAAAAAAAACCTCTTAGAACTAGGGCATAATGTGGGGAATCTACACTAACAGGTACTTGGGGAAAAAATTAAACAAAGCAGAAACATCCATGGAATCCTATGGTTTCTTCACAAAAACAGTGTCACAAATCACAATGCAAGCTCCACTTTTTATATACAGTGGTACCTCGGGTTACGAATTTAATTCGTTCCGTGACTCTGGTCGCAGCCCGAATTGGTCGCAACCCGAAGCAAATTTCCCCATAAGGTTCAATGTAATTACCGTTAATCCGTTCTGGCGTGGAGGACAGGGAGGCGGCTATTGCTTGGAGGGAGAGTCCCCCTCCCTACGACCACGTGTCAGGGGCGGAAAATGGCCGCAGACCACGTGTCAGGGGCGGAAAATGGCCGCAGACCACGTGTCAGGGGCGGAAAATGGCCGCAGACCACGTGTCAGGGGCGGAAAATGGCCGCAGACCACGTGTCAGGGGCGGAAAATGGCCGCAGACCACGTGTCAGGGGCGGAAAATGGCCGCAGACCACGTGTCAGGGGCGGAAAAGGGCCGTGGACCATGTGTCAGGGGCGGAAAATGGCCGCAGACCACGTGTCAGGGGCGGAAAAATGGCCGCGAACCACGTGTCAAGGGC